AAATGACATGAAAAAAAAAAAAAAAGAAAGCACAAACCCTCTCTTCAATCCACACTGCCAACTGTTCCTTCGCCTCCTCTATGCAAATGTCACGCCTGCTTTTTGTCTGCTCCCTTGTCTCACTCATTATTCATTTTTGTTTCCTTCTGCTTTAAATTAAGTTGTCCAGCCTGTTCCCGGAGGCTGATCGCTTGTGCTGAAAAGTCGCAGCTTGTACTAAATCCCCTTGGGTTTGGTGGAAGTGACAAAGGGAACTCGAGTGAGGGAAGAATTAAACAAAAAAATATAAAGTAGAGGATGAAAAATATCCTCCCCTCTGCTGTGCTGGAGACCTACGGGGAAGAGGACACCAGCCCTGCTCCTGCCAGCCCCTGCGTGGGGGTTCAGCCACGTCCCTGGCTGGGTTTTGGGGGGTTGCTGAAGCCAACAGGGTCAGCAAGGACCCCAAAGCCACACTGGCTGCCCTGGGCAGGGCTCTTGACTGGGACCCTCAGCACGACCAAGGGGATCAACATTATTTCAGTATTTTATAGTTTAGTGTTAACTCCATTTGCCTGAGCCAGTCCAGTAAGGTACCGGCACTGGGAGCAAGGGAACACTTGTGCTAACGTCTGTCCTTGCAATGGGGTGAGAATTAGGGCCAAACTCAGACCCAGCACTGTCATGTGGCCTCCTCCTCTTTAACCTAGATGCTCTGCTGTCCCCATTCCCACCCATAAGGTTTGGTCTCTGGGGTCCTTAGAGTGTGGACATGTACACTGGTTCCCTCTGCTCAAGATAGTCCTCCAACACGATCCCAGTATGCTGTGCTCCCTCAAACACCGGCACAAATCCTCACGCCGTGCTCTGGGGCATGCAATGCCCTCCCTCTACACCACGCTCTCCACGCTGGGGACCTGGGCCATGCCCTCACAAATCTGGGGTGTTCTGAGCTGAGGAGACCTGGATCAGTTGTCACACAGCAGGGACAGGGCCGGTCCCTTTGGAGAGCTTAACCCTGGACCAGCTAGCACATGGACAGGGCTTTCTCATCTGCAGACCCAGCCTGTGTCACTTTTTACACGGAGCTCCTTCATCCCATCAGATGGTGCTTTCATGTCTACCTGTGGCACCTGATCTGTGTCCCTGGGGCACAGGGTTCATTTTGACCTAGTTCCAGAGGTGCTAACTGGGACAGGGACAGCTGACTCAGATGCATGTGCTGAACCAGCAGTGACTGAAACCAGAGCAGAGCTCCCAATGCACACAGTGGCTCTCAGCTCACAGTCTGTGGAATGACAACTGCCCACAACACTCTGA